TATCCCTGGTTTGCTGAGAGTTTTGTCATGAATGGATGTTGAAATTTTGTTAAATGCTTTTTTTGACTCTGCAGATAGGCTCACATGATTTTTTTATCTGTTCAGGTTGATGTGGTGGTTAACTCTGGGTTTGAATGTTGCACCAGTTTTGAGTTCCAGAGATAAATTCTACTTGATTATGATGCATTATATTTCTTGATTCAGTTTGCTTAATATTTTGCTGAAGATTTTGTAACTTTATTCATGGAAAATATTGGTTTGTAGTTTCTTGTAACATTTTTCTTAGGTTTTGATATTAGGTAATGCTGAGCTTATAAAATGAGTTGGGAAGTGTTACCTGGAAGTTTGTCAAGAATTAATATTATTTTCTCCTTAAACGCTTAGAAAAATTTGCAGCAAAGTCTTTGGGGCCTAGAGTTTTCTTTGTGGGAACATTTTTAATAAAAAATTTCTATTTATAAAATATTTGCAGGGCTCCTCATATTCTGTTTCTTCTTAAAGCTTTGGCAGTTTTTATGTTTCAAAAATCTGCTGTACTTAATCTACAGTATCAACTGTATTGCCATAAAGTTTTTATTATTATTCCCTTATTTTCCTTTCACTTTTTAAATTGTAATGTGTGTGTGTGTGTGTGTGTGTGTGTGTTTTTGAGACAGAGTCTCATTATGTTGCCTTTGGTAGAGTGGTGTCACAGGTCATAGCAATCTCAAACTTCAGGACTTAAATGATCCTCTTGCCTCAGCCTCTTGAGTAGCTGGGACTATAGGCGCCTGCCACAATACCCCGCTAGTTTTGGGGTGCAGTTGTCATTGTTGCTTGGCAGGCCCGGGCCGGGCTCGAACCCACCAACTTGGGTGTATGTGGCCTATGCCTTATTCACTGAGCTATTGGCACCAAGCCCATAATGTGTATTTTATCTTTTTCCTGATTAATCTGGCTACAGGGTTGTCAACTTTAATAATATTTTTGAAGAACTAGCTCTTGGTTTTATTGTTTTTCTATTTTCAATCCCTCTGATTTTTCCCATTAGTATTATTATTTGCTTGCTTTGGATTTAACTTACTTTTTTCTAGTCATGTAGGTGGAAATTTTGATTATTGATTTGCTATCTCTATTCTCCTCCAATAAAATGCTATAAATTTCCCTCTATATACTGCTTTACTAGGGAGGCTGAGCTAGGAGGATCACTGAAGCTCAGGAGTCTGACGTTGCAATGAGCTATGATGATACCATTTCACTTTAGCCCAGGCAAGAGAGTGAGACCTTGTCTCAAAAATGTGTTTGATAATGTGTGTGCTTTAGTTTTTAAAAATTTG